TGCTTTGGTTTTGCTGATGTTGATTTTGAATCCATGATCGGCGAGTTTGGTGTTCCAATCTTCAAACATCTGTGCTGCATTCTGTTCAGACGTGGCTGTTAAAACGATATCATCAGCATATATTAGATTCCAAATGTCACCAGTGCGTATCGGTTTTGTGATTTCTTCCATCACAGTTATAAATAACAGTGAACTGAGAATCGAGCTTTGGTGAACTCCAACGCCGATGTCAAATGCATCTGTGTTTCCAACCGTTGTGCTGACGAGAGTCTTAGTAATCGTATACATTTCCATCACAAGTCGAACAAGATATTCTGGTATGAGTTGTCGACGTAGACTCCACTTGATTGCTTCACGGGGAACTCGATCAAATGCTTTTTCAAGGTCTACAAAAATGTGTGATAGTTGTTGATGCTTTGCGAGGTACTTCTCTTGCAGTTGCCGAAGGATGTGAATTGCATCAATTGTTGATTTCCCCGCTAGGAAACCAAATTGATAATTTCCGATTGTGACGAACGACGTTAATCTTCTCTCAATGATTTTCTCGACAATTTTCAGGGAGTGTTCTAACAGACGTATACCCCGATATGATGAACAGTTCAATGAATCACCTTTGCCTTTGTATAGCGGAACTGTCATGCTATAGTTCCATTCAGTCGGCATTGAGCAATTTCTCCACACTTCACGGCAAAGTTGTAGTAACGTTTGGATACCTGCAGTACCAAATACTTTGATAATGTCATTTGTGAGTCCAGAGGGCCCTGCTGCCTTTCCATCCTTCATAGCTTTCAGAGCTTCCGTAAGCTCCTCTACAGTGATGTCTGGAATCGGACCTTCGATGGGTGGAGCGTCAAAGTTGACATTGATGGGATTTGTTTTATTTAACAAACGTTTGAAGTATTCTCTCCACTGTAGGTTGATCTCATCTTGTTCAAGAACCATCTCGTTTTTGATACATGAGGCACCAACTATGTCTTTTTTTGTAGCCTTCGGTGTTGTTGCTTGACATCGAAGAAATCGTTCGGTTATATCTATTTATTTCGTTTCCAAACTCAGCAGTAAATTTTAAAACGCCTCACTCAAGAAATAAATTGTCTACTTTGGGACAGTTGTCAGTGGTGAAAAAACTCGCTTAAAAGCTGTAAAGGTTAAAGAAACACAAAATTTTGATGGTGAAAAACAATAAAATATAAATAAACGAATGCAGTTCATCGGCCAACTATACCTACGTTGGTGATTAAACACCTTTTTCACAAACTTACCGTTCTAGCGCACCCAATAATAATAATAAATAATAAATGTCACTTATAAAGCGCCAATGCAAGCGACTGAGGCGCCGTCGAAATCAAAAAATTAATAATAAACCACAAGTTATTAAAAATAACACGGTTTCAATGGTTAAAATCAAATTTACAAAATTAAAATCATTGTCAATGTAAAATAATAGCTAGAATTTCTGATGTTTGGAGGTAGAGAATTTCAGACAGTTGCAGCAGCATAACGAAATGCTTGTTTCCCAATGCTGGTTGATGAAATATTATGAAGAAGTGCCGCTGCTTTGGCAGAGCGAAGTTGTTGATTGTTCATATTTAGATAAGGAGACTGTTGTGGTAAAACGGCGAATTCAACGACAACAACCTGAAGACATGCATAATACATAAAGATATATTAAAACAGTCCGGTTATGAAAAGAAGAAATTACAAATAATCTGACTGGGGCATTTAAAGTTTTTTGGTCACATCGTGCCGAAGGAAGGAATGGAAAATCTAACAACTACTGAAAAGATTGCAGAAAAAAGAGATCGCGGTTAACAATGAAGTACATCGGGGAAGTCCTTGTGTCAGTTGTTGAATATCACTACATTCCATAGTTAAAGATTGGGTTTTGTGGATGTCGATAGTCGCCAATGTCCTGTATGGAATCGGCACGAGAAAGAAGAAGAATCTGCTTATAGTAGTTTAGCATCTGCAGCGTATTCTTTTTAGTTTATAACCGTTTGTCTAATTGTTTGTAAAACTTTACAACTTCTAATTGCGTTTTGGCTCCATTAATGTATGCACTCCTATTGACGATTACAAATATCGATCTTTTGTCGGTTTTTTTTCTGATGGTTACTAGGGTGGTTACAACGCTATATGTAAATAAAAAAAAATTTCGAAATCTTATCGGGAGAACCCCCTAAATTGTGCCACTTGACTAAAAAATGACATTTGTAAAGTTTTAGCTCAATTGGATAATGCTAACCCGTGCCTCATCGAGGTTGAAATTTCGAAAAATTGGAAAATTTTGAAAAAAAACGCAGTTTTTGGTTTGTAAAATAAAAACGGTTCACTCTAGAAACATGATTTTGGTTTTATTTTGTTCATTGATTAGTTTTTCTTCAAATGTTACTATGATCACTATTTAGCTACAAGTTATAGTTTCTGACATATTTGCATTGTTACAGATACACATTGAAAAAACGTTGAATTTCTCTATAACACAAAAACACACAATAACTTATAAAGAAATGTTTTTAAAATAACACCGTTGTATTTAAATCACTATTATTAACAAATAAACACATTTTTTATTCGTATTATATTGTTTATAGTTGTTATACTCAAATAAATTTCTACTTTAACTCATTGTTCAAAGGTAGAGGCTCGGATAATGAGGCTTTTGAGCAACCAGGAAATTTTGTCCGACATTCAGCAATTACTTGCAAAAGATATTATTTTTGATCTTCCTCTTTTGTAATACATGAGTTGTAATCTGTTATTAATTTAACACCCCTTTCTGCTGTATCATTTGTAACTTTTAATCCGTCCACAATCTTTTTACTCATTAAATATTCTTCGTTATTACTCCATAATTCTGGATTGATATGCAAAATTGATCATTAATATTAAATTTTTTTAAAAAATTACTTGATTGTGATGAAATAAAATGGTCCGCATTTTTGTCCAATATTTCTGATACTTCATTTATTGTTATTAATGGTTTCATATCACAGTAGTCATCAAGTTCTTCATCCTCATTTGCTTGAGATATTAATTTTGTTGCCATTCTCTTTTTTACACAATTACTTAATGAATCATCGAATAATGAAAAAACAGCCTGCTCTGGATTGAGATACTATATGTGGTTGATAAATTTTGAAACTGATATATCTGAGATAAATTTATTGACTTTATTGTAATTTACCAAAGATTTTAACAATTGTAAATCTTGGTTTGGAGCAAGTGCAGGTTTCGGGGCATCCAACCACACTTTCACATAAATATTTATAATAAATAGGCAAATATCATGGAATCCTTGCTTTTCAAAAATTGTCAGTTGAAACTGTTCTGAAAAGGTATATTTTCAACGAATATATCGCTTTTGCCATCCACCTTGCGTGATGAAAACCACTAGGAGCCGCAAACACGATGTTTTCTGACGGAAAGCGTTCTAAAAATATAAGACAAAGATTAATCAATTCTTTGTAATCGCTCCTTGGATGATGAACTGTTAATTATTATAGAAGATAACTTGAAATTTGACCCGGATTAATCAATTTGCTGGCTACACTTTTATCTTTAACTTAAGATTTAAATTTTTTTATCAATGTTGTTCCATTCAGTTTTAAATTTTTTGAAAATATCCGATTGAGGGCCTGTAGTCTTTCCCATCACAGCATCAAAAACGGATCTCAAAACTACCTCAAAAATGTGGTGGCGACATGGAAGATACAATAATTTTTTCTCCATCAATTGCACTAATAAAACGCAAGCACCTTTAATGCGGCCAGTATTCACGGCAGTTGTGTCAAAGGACATTGCTTGAATCTTGTCAAGTGCACTCCACTTTCCAAGTTCTGAATAAACAGATTTTGCAATTGTACTGCCAGCACCATTTTCTAATAGGGGAACTCCAATTAACTGTTCTTCTTCTCCACAGCTAATTAAGACTGCAACTCTTTCAACATTTTCTTTATTTAACATATCTTGAAGTAATTTTCCATCCCAATGTATAACTGCTCCTTACCAAAAATGAGAAATCGTAGAAAAATCAAAAGATCTTAATATTAATACATAAAAACAACATAGAGCACCCGGGTTAGTAATAGTAAATAATTTATTGTGTGTTTTTGTGTTATGGAGAAATTCAACGTTTTTTCAATGTGTATCTGTAACAATGCAAATATGTCAGAAACTATAACTTGTAGCTAAATAGTGATCATAGTAACATTTGATGAAAACTAATCAATGAACAAAATAAAACCAAAATCATGTTTCTAGAGTGAACCGTTTTTATTTTACAAACCAAAAACTGCGTTTTTTTTCAAAATTTTCCAATTTTTCGAAATTTCAACCTCGATGAGGCACGGGTTAGCATTATCCAATTGAGCTAAAACTTTACAAATGTCATTTTTTAGTCAAGTGGCACAATTTAGGGGGTTCCCCCGATAAGATTTTGAAAAAAATTTCTTGTGACCACCCTAATGGTTACTTTTGGATCTTCAATCAGTTTCTTAACTTCTTTGAACCCAATAAGTCCAATTAAAATGACATTATGCTTTACGTTATATTGCTTTATTGGCGGGTGGCCTCTCTTATTCTGGGTCTGGTAAAGTCTAAAATCTTTGCTCTGATCTTAAAAAATTATGGGGTTGGGTTTAGAGATTAGGTTTCTAAATATTACATTTTTTATTGTTAAGTTAAGTTAAAGTAGCTTTACCAATACTCGAAGTGAGAGAGTGGTTGAATAATAAATTCTATTTTCAGAAGTTTTTACAAAAGTTTTTTCTGTGGTAGACTGCAGTCTCATATTATTTCTTCCCTCTTAGTTATGCCTCTGATTGAATAAGTAAAAGCAATAATTTTTAAAGTTGGAGTTAAACCAAATACTTTCATAAACTTTTAACGATTCAAACATATTAATTTGTTTAATAATTTTTCATCACATTTATGATTAGTATGATAAAATTAATTGTTATTCTATTGAACAGATTGAACGAAATGGCTTGTCATGGAAAGAAGAGATAGATATCAATCGAGCTCTATATGCATCACTCCAAAGAAATCGATCCCCAGTCGATTTTAAAAATTCCTCATCTGAAAGTAGTTTGGTGTTTTTTTTTCTGAGTTGAGATTTATTTTAATTTTTGAAAGTCTACCGTGGTCAGAAATATGTAATCTTTTCACAGCATTGTTTTGAAAATTAAATTTGGGTTATAAGCGTTGTTTATGTTCTACGCTAAGCATTTTCCTTAGCAAGCGGTTATCCATAACTCAAAAAATTGTGACTTAAAAAATTAAATATTCTGTTAAGGCTTACATGGTTAATTTTATAGTTGACGTAAATTTCTGATGTCTGTATAAGTTTTTTCAATTTTCCAAAAGTTATATTTTTTGCTGAAGGAGTTTTATTGTTGTTTGCGGTTGTGAAAACTTTAAAATTTATATATAAAAAAGTAAATTATGTTCTTATTGGATCAACCTAAACAACAAGCTGATTCATATACAACAGGCAAAGCAATATTATTTTATGAAAACGAAAAAATATGTGAGTTTGGTTCATCAATTATCAAACTAGAAATTACATTGAAGTAATAATGTGAACGTGCATAGTAGACTTTTCAAAAGTAGTTGAGTTTTTATACAGACCTAATCTGTTCTTACTGACACTCATTCTTTTTATAATTTTTTTCCCATTTAGACTAGATTCAATTTAACATGCTAATGAGCTCACCAAAGAGAAAGATTTTCTAGCTTCACCAAATTATGCATGATTAATCATTAAGGTGTTGTATTTCAAAAATTTGACCCTTTCATGTGTTGTCTTGTAAAACCAAAAATTTGTAGCATTAGCTAAACAAAAACATTACACAGTATGACATCATTCAACTAATCATCAAGGAAGAGGCAATAAAGAAGATAGTGCGGGTGAAGAAGGTGTTGCCTACAAACGGCGTTGGTCGTAAGGGGCATCAATAGGATCCTCAAATAATCATGGAATTTTTTGTGAATTAGTATTGGTTGCGTCGATATATGATACAATTTTATAAAATGCTATAAAAAGCATCAAAATATGCAGTCTTATCAAGCAGAATGTAAGAAAAAATATAGAAAATCGGAAAAAATAAGTTATGGACGAGATTCTATGTCAATTGTTTAGTGAATTAATTAAATTTATTTGAGAAAATTCTATATTAAAATTATTACACGAAAATACTATTTTTAATACTGTGGATTCTATACTTTAATTGACAATTTGCGATTTAGAAATCAAAAAGTGGCTTACCAATCCTCAAAATTTCGACAGAAATCCCAAAATTTCTGCTCCCCTGCTTATCCTTATTGCTTCATATATCCTGTTTATGTTCCTTATCAAAAGTTCAGATAATTGTTATAAGAAAATTGCAATTTTTATGTTTTCATATTGAATCATATCTTATTTTTCAGTTGTAAATGAAAAAGGATTAGAGCCTGAAGAAAAAGTGGAATTACTTTTGAATTCAAAGAAATCAAACAAATTTTTATGGTTGTCCAAATTTTTATGGTTGTCTAAATTAATTCAGCTTTGTTTTTTGAAAAAAAAGTTTATTTTACAGTTCTCATAAAGCCCAAAGAAAATTTGCATGTGATATAAGGACAATGTTCAGTGAACTAGTTGAGATAAAAAAGAATAAACTAACTACAAATGGTGCAAAACACGGCAAACATATTTTATTTACCGAAGATTTTATTAATTTTCTTTGTCTTCGAGGTATTTGCTCATGAGAACTCTTTTTAATTGTGATTATTTAAAAAAGTTAATATCACCAGGAACTCGTTGTTCAACATTGAGTGAAGAGGTTTTTGCCTCAATGGAATTAAATTTGTTGAAACAATCTAGCTCAGGTTTATCTGATGCTGTTAGTGATGTGAAGTCTAACAAAAGAATCAATAGCCATCTCGCACAAAAAAACAAAATTAAAAAATTAAAAGTTCGTATATTTATTCTTTTGAGAGTGTTATTTTTTAAGTTAAAATATATTGTATGACATCTAGATTTCCAATTTTGAACCAAAATCTAGTTTGAAAAATTTAAGTGGGTCAGTTAGAGCGCCTAACAATTCTGCTGGATTGTTGGAGGGAGAATGTTCTATGGTTGATAAAAAGTGTTTCATGGTTGATAAAAAATTTAGCACTCCTGAGGAGGCAGTTTTTGAAATGGGGACTGGTCAGACAATGCAGAAGTATGAGAGTGAAACGTCTGAAGAGGATGATGAGTCTTCAAATGTATCATCTTGTTTTGTACGTCAAAACAATGAACCTGAAGGTGTTGATTTTAAGAATTTTGATACAGTTAAAAGTTTAAATCGATCAAAATTTGAGTCTGCATCATTTGATCCAACTTGTAATTCTTTGAGGTCAGGATCAATTGAAAATTTTTCCGATAATAATAATGTTGTTATGAAATTTGATAACACATTGGGCAACAGTTTATTTTCAGCTACATTTGATGAAAACTGCTCTAGTTCGCTAGAAAATTCATCAAATATTTTTGTTTACACAAACAATACACTTAATAGCCATCTTGAAACAGAGAGTGTTCCAAAATTCTTTATTCATCCCTCGCCTGACAATCTTTTTTATTCATCAACTTTTTTTCCCTTTAATTCCCATTTTGCCGCACCTATCCTACTTAACACTTCAAATCTGAACCGTTTGAATGGTTCCACCAGCGTTGAACAGTCTCTCATTCCTAAAGTACATTCTCTGTGGGAACTGAAGTCACTTCCACTAACGGGCGGTTTCGTACATGGACTTGTGAAAGTTGGTTACTCTTTGTAGAGTGTTGCATGTTCTTTTGAGAATTACTTAGTTATGGTTCACATCATCATCAGATCATTCTTAGCTATTATCTGAGTTTCCAACATTTTTTATTTATTATTTGGTTTTAGTTTATCTTTTGTCAATAGAGTTTTGTTTTGAACATAATGGCTTATTTTTCATGTTATATATATATATATAATTCACAATTGTCTTTTAGATTATTTACAATGTTTAGTCAAACTCAGTTAAACAAATTATGATTTATATTTTGTATTATGTATTTTTGTTTACATTTTTTCGTTTTAATTTTTACTTAAAATTAATAGCATAATTCATAATTTTTGCAAATCTTAAGCTGATTGTAGCCGTTTTTGTATTGATTCATTATAATTCAAAAGGTTGATGACAACACTTGGATGCCAACGGTTGAACCATACTTGCCAACAGGTTTATAAAGCATATCTGAAGTGTATTTTCAGTGATGATGTTGTATTAATTATAATTATTTTCATCGATTATCATCATCTTCAGTCTTAGGGACCATTATTCATCTTAATAATGGCTGGTTCTCTCCACTAGTACCATTTGTACTTTTTAGCTCACCATCTTGCCCACAAGCTAAGCATAAATTCAGCTTGCTAAGTCTTTTTACCTCTAATATATCTTGTATACATCCAATCTTTCTACTTGTTTTTAGCAACATGGTTACTGAATATCTTTCCTAGTTGTACTACTACATTTTACGAGTCATTACATTTCTCTGCGACAATTTTTAACTAAATCTGCCCGGGATTCATTCTTTTTTTAATTCTTATTTTTTTGGCGAAAAATATTGGTAAGAAGCTTTGTCATAGTTTTACTCTACTGACGGATGTCTTAAATTCAATTAGACTTAAAGTGAAAATGGTGCTTTAATGTAATGTTAAACTGGTACACTTGAAAATCTCACATTATGAGAAATAGTTTAAAATAAATAATATTTGTGATTATTATTTCTTTTAAGTGTTTAAAATAACTATTTTAATTTAAGATGATCAAACGAAGCAAGGCGTAAACAATGCTGATTGTGGAACAGAATTACTACAGAATGAAAAAAGTAACACAATAAGTTTAAGATCTGGAAAAGTGTTGCCTTCAACATTCTTGAAAAATACAGATAAACCCTTTGAAACATCCTCAACTGCACTCTCATCAAATAATGAAGCTGATGATAGAAGAAAAAGAGAGATTCATGCAGAAATGAAAATGATACTTCCAGACTCTCGAATTGATATTAACGGATTGAACAGTCCAATTGTTTCAAGAAGTATGGACAAGGTGAAAGTGAGTCCTTTGCATAAACTTCAAAACGTAAAAGTGAAAAAAAGAAAAATGAAGTATGAGATGTCAGATAAAACCTGGAGCAGGGGCGGAATAAAAAATTTGGAACTAAAAACAGTTGTTAGTCCCATGACAAGATCAAAAAAAAAGTTGTTACAAAGTCATGTGTTTGGATCCAGTCTAAATAATAAATAACGTTTTAAATTTTTTATATAATCTAATATATTGATATATGTTTATTTATTTATTCGTTTGTTTAGCTGATTTATTTATTGAATTGTAAGAAAAATTGAACCTGAATAGCGTTTATTTTCAGTTATAAGTTAAATTACGTTAAAAATGTGTTGTGTTGTTGGACCAGTGTTACCCCACCTTTTTAGGTGTCTTTAATCAATCAATCAATCTTCGTTTTGCGTCCAGAGACCCGGTTCCCGAGGTAGGACGTTGTTTTCTTTGCCATCAACTTTTTGCGCCAAATTAGACGATCAGTTGTATCCATTTCATTTAAATTTAGAGCTTTCATGTCTTGCTCGATTGTTTGCTACCAGGACTTCTTTGGACGGCTTTTGGGACGTGTGCCAGGTACTTCAACATCTGCAAGAGAAGTTATGGCACTGTTTCCACTTTGTTTGACATGACCAAACCACTGCAGCACGACGCATGGTTTCGGTGATTTGATGTGGTCCTTCAGACTAATTCGTTGCATCCATCGGAGCATTTTCATGTCGGTTCTTTGAAATTGTTGTTCCTGTTAGGTTGTCATTGGCCATGTTTTTGCACCATATAACAAGACACAGATTTATAAAGTCTTGATCGTAGTGGTAGTGGGATGTCACGCCGCATCGATGTAGAGGCAAGGAGATGCCATTTATTCCAGGCTTCACGTAGGCGTGCTCGAACGGCAGCTTCAGCTGTTCTAGAACAATCCAGAACATCCCCTAGATATTGAAACGATGTGGCTTTCTCTACCTTAATGGCTTCAAAAACATTGCTTTTTCGAATTTGTTGTTATGGATTGATGCAAGCAGGACAAGCAAAGACAAACAAAATTGGACACTTTAGGTAAAGTACCAATTATTTTTGAACAACGTTTGTGACACCACCGGTTACACTGCTGACACTTGATTGAATTGTTACCTACACCAGCTTCACAAACTGAACAGGGCCATCGTCCAGTAGCTGTGGATTGGATGGGTTCACCAGTGTTCATTGCTTTGGTTTTGCTGATGTTGACTTTGAATCCATGATTGGCGAGTCTGGTATTCCAATCTTCACACATCTGTGCTGCATTCTGCTCAGACGTGGCTGTAAAACGATATC